ATAGGGTAAGATGTTTGCAACACTGGTGGATAGGACATACCTTGCAGTCTTGGACATTGTGGACGCAGATGCCCCTCTTCTTGACAATGGTAACAAACTTGAGGACGAGCTGGGTAATAAAGCCTTCCATTTGGACCAACGATTGGCTGTAAGGACACTCTCTCAGATTGACTATGCAGACCACTAGTATAACCTGTAGATTGCTCTGAAGTCCTAGGTTTGCCTGCAGTCCACGAGCTCTGATGACCCGAAACTTGACCAACTTGCTGCATTGAATAGTTATCTCCCGGAATACCTGAATACTGAAAAGGCTGCCGTGGTTGACTTTGACGATTGCGAAACTCGCCCAGATGGAACTCCCATGAAATACCTGGAGGTTGCTCATAGCTATATCGATTTGACTGCGAACCGTTTCTATATCCACTTGTCACCGCATAGTTATCCAAAGCAATTACGTCCTCATCAACTTCACAAGACGATTTAGATTCTCCACTCACCGCGGTCCCTTTTTGCAGTCTCATTAGATCCTTCAACATCTCCCTCAACTCCTTGACTTCATCTCGGACTGACTCTGCCTTTGCAACAGATTTTGCCCTTTGATACCTTCTTATCCTTTCTTGCAGGGCTTTTTCCAGACCTCTTCAATCTTGCTTGAGTTTTTGATGGCCGATAATACTCATCCTCATTTGCCTCAGACTCACTTTCAGATTGATCACTTTCATCAGACTCACTATCATCAGTTTCATCATAGTTCTTGCGTCTGCTGCCTGTAGTCTTCTTGTATCCCTTTATCTTGAGCTGGGTAGCAAGCCTCATTACTCCATTGACCACTTGATGTGGACTCTCACCCATGTCTCGACTCAGATAGGTCATAATTGCCATTTCTCACAAATGCTGATTTCCTATACCGTCAATATAGTAACGAATCAAAACCCTGTCAAACTGATCAAAGTGAGCTGGCCTCTTGCGTAGCAACTGAAGAACTTTCTTTGAGTTAGCAAAAACATCTCGATTTCCCTGCTTGAGGGTACTCATAGCTGAAAGAATCTTCTCATTGGCCTGAGCTCCACTTTCAGAATCATCAAATTGGTTTCTCAGATTATTGATCAAGGATCTTTCATTCCACAAGACATCCTCTGGAAGTTGGCGAAGAAAACGACCTGCACTAGACCGGATCGGACAAGCAATATGGATTTGAGCAACTCGCCTTTTCTGGGACTCGGGAGTTCTTCCATCAAACTCTTCTCCCATTGTCGCAAACCATGATTCTATCCATCCAAGAAAGTCCTTTATGCCAATCCCATTCTCACCTGTAAACACAATACTGGGTGGACGTGAAAGACCTATCTTCTCAAATAAGGGGAGGGGAACAAGAAAAGCAAACAAGCAGACTCACTATGTAGTACCAGGCAGCACAAGTTCAAGAACGGAAAGATATATTGATTGCACAGGTGGGCAAGTTGTCCAGGTATCAGCCACCAATCTGTTTCAGAGCACCACTTGTGGAAGTGTCTCGGTTGTCTTCCGGATTTTGGATGGTGTGATTGACCGAGCCGACACCTGTGCAATTGTGGTAACCGTACAACGTAATATTTGATCGGATAAGAGTGTAGAATTATACTGATAAAGTTGACAGTAAAAACACAGTGAGAAAGCAAGCAAAAGGAGTGGGAAAAACAGCACCCAGAAACAACAGTAAAGAAGGTGGTGGTGTTGGTTGTACAGGATGGGTTTTTGCTGTCTTGTCCCTCCACTCTCTCTGAGGAAGGCAAGGCCATGCCTCCAGGTGAAAAACAGCCACCTGCTAAGCCTCATCTCAAACAGAAAATTCTATGGGCAAAAACCCAGCAAACATGACCAGAAAACCCCTAAAACCTTCCTCGCACCACACCGGTTATCCCACCTATTTATTTCACTAGGTCACGGGCGCTTATTAGTAATGGCAACAATCGTTGACTAAAACAGGTATCCCCTGCGCCATCAAAACTCCCCCACCGCCCCATCCAACCTCTCATCCAAAGAAAACCCCCACCAGTCCTTCCAATCTTTTCGCATTTTCAACCCTCTCAACGGTAACATCCATCTCCTTAATGACCCCCATCCCACCTTCCAACCCCAAAATCCTAGCTACAACCTCCTCCGCCGCTCCCCACGCAGCACACATTCCATCCCCTGTATACCCCGCCGCCACCCACTCCTTCCCAACACCTTGCTGGCGTCCGGAGATCTCCGGCGGCACTTCACCAACCCAGGGAAGCACATCGCCGGAGAATCCCATAATGCCGGTCCATATCTTTTGCACCCTGGTGTCCAGCCCGATAGCCGGGAGGACGCCAGAGAGATGGATAGTGGTGCACAGTTCAACAACACTATCGTCAACAGTTCCAATTTCGGTCCTTAGCGCTTGACGAAGACCCCCGCCGAACATTACTGTTCGGTCAGGGAGTGTGGTCAGGTAATCGTAGCCTTGTTCCCAAGAGAACTGCCAGCTCCTATGCGCGTGGAAGTGGCGTTCTGGAGGTGGGGATTGCGCTGTCATGGTTCCACGGATCGGGAGTAGCGCTCCCGTGAGACCGGGGAGGAGGTTTGCGGTGTAGCCATTAGTTGCATGGAGGATGTGAGTTGCCTTTATTTCTCCCCGCGGGGTACGCACGACGTAAGATGATGTGGTGGAATCTGGAGGGGTGATAGATGTAACAGGGGTGCAGGTATCAAGCGTAAAGGTAGGGTGCGCGGAGAGCAGGCGGGCGAGGATTGGGTGGATGAGCCGGGCAGGCCAAAGGGCACCAGCGGGGCCAGTGATGATGCCTTTGACGTGGGGGGTGGAGAATTTCTGAGAATGTTAGTTGGCTGTGAAAATGGGTTCAGGAGGGTTGTGGGGGTTGTGGATCTGGTCACATCCGAGATTCGAAATGGCGAAGTTCTGGTTGAAAACTAATCCATCTACGAAGAAGGGGATACTATGTAGCATCGGTATCGGGCATCGCCACCGGTTGTGTCAACTACCACAGCGCAAAATTCCATCTCACAGCCATGATATGGTGGCTATCCTCAAGATGTGGTGGACTAGGGGGCTCGACCTGCCCATTCAACCCTTGATCTATCCCATATATTATAACGAACACCTTGCGCGTTATCCACCCACCTTCGGCAAACCCATAGAGCGCGCCAAGCTCCCGGAATGTGACCAATCCGCTCATCAAAGAAACACAGCAGTCGAGTGCTCACCTGCCTTGCTTCCTCTCCCTCATACGTCCTCCATTTCCCGGTCTCTTCCGGAAACTCCTCTAAATAAACATCCAAGCAGGACCTGGAGGTAACCCAACTCTCAGTATCAAAATATACATCTACCGCTTCCACCTTTCTAATTTGACACTCCGCTGTGACACCCTCCTCATCTGCTATCGCAATCATTTTGTCGAGAACACCCATTCGAAATTCCGTCACTTTTCTCGCTTTCTCTTTCCCGAGTGCCGCTGCGAGTCCCGGAAATACTTCCCAAGGGTTAGGTTTGATATGACCCCCGTTGCGGCCAGTTGCACCCGAACAAGCTTCACGGGCATCTAGCATGGCAACCCGCAGGTCTGGCGAGCTAGAGAGTAATGTTCTAGCAGCGGCGGTTCCAGTTATCCCACTACCGATAATTACCACGTCTGCGGAAGCGGGGATGGTAGGAGATTGGTGGGTGAACACTGGCGGGGGGTCGGATAGCCAGAAAGAAGATGTCGGGTTCGAAACCGGCTGTCCCGGAGTGGTTGAAAGTGTGTTAGCGAGGGATCGTAGGTGGGAATCGAAGTTCGGCAGGAGGAGCTTGGTTAGTGGAGATACGGTAGGCGCCATTATATAGTAATTGTTGTTCTGGGGAACCTGGAAGCTTGACAATGGCGATGATAGTTCTAGTGATGGCGTTGCGCTTGTGATTTTTTTTCTCTGGTTGCACCCCACCGCAGCTGCGTTACCCGATCCGGATGTTTTTCACCTGAGGCTCTTTTGTGTAACTGCAGACTGCGAGATGAACACATCCAACAAGGTGTTCCTACACTAACTCGAGCTCAGGCTTGTCCTCTCCCATCATCGATGCGATTAATCGCCCCACGGGTATTTAGCCCTAAATTATTTTCGCTATCGGTTATTTGAACAACATGCTACGCATATTCCATGACTCCTCATTCGTACTTAAAGCTCCTCTCTTCTCCCTCATCCTCATCCTTCTCCATCCTCTATTTACCATCTCCTGAAATCATCAAACCCCAATCAATTACCCTTCTTCCGCGATGACCACCACCGACAGGTACTCTCCGAGAGATGGCGATGCTGTGCTCCCTCTCTTCTCCCTGAAGGGCCGTACCGCTATTGTCTCGGGAGCCGGTGCCGGTATTGGGTTAGCCGTAGCGGACGCTCTTGCTGAGGCTGGTGCGAACGTTGCCATCTGGTACAACAGCAACAAAAAAGCCGTTGAGAGAGCTGAAGCAATTGGCAAGAAATGGGGTGTTAAAGGTATACGTGCCTCTGAAATCTCACCCATCTCGTCTATCACTTGACTAACATTGGCAACTCCTATCCAGCCGCTGCCTACCAGGTGGATGTGACCTCGCAAAAAGCGGTACAAGAGGCGGTCGACAAGATCGTATCAGAGTTCAACAACCGTCTCGATATCTTCGTTGCAAACGCCGGAATCCCTTGGACCAAGGGAGCTATCCTCGATGCGGGCGAGGAGGGATTCGATCACTACCGCAGGATCATCGCTACCGATCTCGATAGTGTTTACTTCTCCGCCTATGCTGCCGGGCTGCACTTCCGCCGCCAAGGAACCGGTTCGTTCATTGCTACCGCTAGTATGAGCGGCCACATCACCAACATTCCGCAGCTGCAGACTGCTTACAACTCTGCCAAGGCTGCGGTTATCCACTTTGTGAAGGGAATCGCGGTTGAGTGGGCTGGTTTTGCGAGAGCGAACTCGGTCAGTCCGGGTTATATCGCTACTGAGATTAGCGCCTTTATGCCCAAGGAGACCAAAGATATTTGGAAGGAGAAGATTCCTTTCCAGTAGGTTTTCTGTAGTCCTCCTAAGGTTTCAGACCGTGCAGAGCTAATGCGGTGCAGCCGTGAGGGATTGGCGAACGAGCTCAAAGGCGCTTACCTCTACCTTGCTAGTGACGCTGCCTCGTATACCACCGGAACGGACATCATTGTCGATGGGTATATCTCACTATCTCGCTCAATCACGGGCGCAACATAATTGATCGTCATGCTGACAAATATGATAGTGGTTACGTCTTGCCATAGGTACTGCCGGTTTTATTAGATTATGTTAGATGCAGTAAATGGGAAATGGATCATTTTTGTGATAATAACCTTCGAAGACCGAAGAGAAGCTGCAGTGCGCCTGCCAGGGGTATGAATTCATGCATGACCGCACTATAGGTGAATCTGGCCGAAGAACTTCACGCGAGTGGATAATAGATAGGGACCGGGTGTTGTACTGTCTCCTGTTGGACAGCTCCTTCAGCAAACGAAAGGGGGAATATTGCCAGGTGTCAGCCCCCGGAGGAGCCGTGTTCCGCCAAAGTTGTAGTGTCAAACATAACTTATTGCCTACAACTATAGCAGTCAACTCGGTCATTAACTGAGGCTAAGGGCGAAATTTTGTGCTAAGGCTTTCTAGAAACCCACTGATTCCACAACAATCTGATCTTAATGGGATCAATATTATCATTTGTCTTATAGCAGCGTATCCGACCGGGCGGGCGTGCCTGACGCGGAGGCGAATCATCCTGTATGTAAACTTCCTCCAAAACCAAAACTCCGAATTCAGGACAAAAAAGGAAATGTTCAAAATACTGTGTTATTAGGAGCTTCTCCTATTCCGTATTTCCCCTTTCTACAGTTGGATGTCGACCAAGATTTCTAGATTTTGAAATCACCCTGCGTTTTCGCAGCCCCACCTCTCCCTCTGACCCCACTCCCCGGTTCAATAAGTTAAATTTTCTGGCCAAGCAGTTATTAGGTGGAAAAAGCAGCCTTAGGATACTACCGTAGTTTCCCTAATCCCATATTGAAATTCTCCAGACGAAAGTGATTGATGAAAGCAACGATAAAAGATCACGGGAATGCTCATACTTTTCCATAAGCCACCCAGTGTTTTGAACATGCAACTTTCATAACTAGGCTATTAATAGTTTTGAGCTAGCCGTATACCGGTATTGGTAGCGTTTTCTGAGTGTTTAACCCTGATTTAATCCCCCCATTGTCAATTTGCAAAACTCCGCCGCTAAGGAATTGTTGCTAAAAATTGTTGCTAAATTTAGAGCTAGGGGGCCGCTTCGCTCTCTGTGGACTGATCGGTTTGTCTTCACGAAGCTGGATTGGTGTTTGGCCAATGGCCATTTCGAAAACGCGTATTGGGGAAATTTAAAAAAGGGTGTTGTCAAAGGGCGTTAACGGTTATCAAAGGACACAAAAAGATCTCATACGGTAACCTGATGGAAACTAAAGATATCACCAACACCTTCGCCCGACCGCTCCATCCGAATTTGGCTGGACAATAGATTGTTTGGATGCCATGGCAGGTTTCGAATGCTATCATTACGGTGGCACAACATCACTCGCGAGGTACAGTACCGGAAACGCGAATATCTATAATCACAAAGTTAAAGGCAAAAATGCAATGGAGTGCATACTTTCAACTGAGTCTGGGGATGCTATGAAGATGAAAATAATAATAATAACAACTGAGAGAAGTGCTACTGAGTGAGTTAAAGTCTGTTCTATATATATTTCATGAAAATTCCTTCACATCTAGTATATTTAAAGCGGTAAAAATGCCTAAACAATTAGGAATATTAAAAATATATTTACTGTACCTTTCTCCTCTTTGCCTAGTTTCTAAATTTCTGATATAGATAAAGGAGGTCATGATGCTCCTTTTATCCTATAATCATGGTAATACTAGACTTTTGCAATGAGTTATGGATTGAAGTAAAATATTGCGGGGAAACATTTATTCTTGAAATAACCCCTATTAATATGTCTATATTAGATCCTTTGTTATTAGAACCTCTTAAATAAGAATTGTTCAAATGCTATATGTTCATAACCATGCCGTGGCATTTCCGGAATCTTGTTAATGGGTTGTGTTATGTTTAAGGGTCTGTTTGGACACGATCATTCCGTTCCGTTCCCCCATAAAAAACCGCCTTACGGGTCCGTTAGCGAACTGTCATTTTGTATGGGCGAATTAATATCTTATATTCGCGAACCGAACAGAATGGTCGTGTCCAAACAGACCCTAACACTGTTGAGAGACCTTTGTTATTATTGGAGTCTTTAGGTTTGGGTCGAGAATTGAGTCGCTAGTTGCGAATGTTCGGTTATTTATGCGGACGTATGATACAATACAATCGGAAAGAATAAGAATGAAACTGGCAGGGTATCCTTTTGATCCTCCTCCTCTAGCCCCAAGTTCCCCGCCATAAAAGGTAGAATAATTAAGAATGGCACTCGGGTTTCTAAAGATTCCCACTTTTCATTAAGGGCAGAAAAGGTGGAGAGAGAAACCCTTTCTGGTCCACTATAAGACGGATGAAATGCGAAGTACCACCGACGCTGGTATCATACAGGAGGCAACCCCGTCTTCCAAGCAAGATTCTCAATTGTTCCGGTATATATCAACAATGCACGACAAACCGACATAGAAATGGAAATGAAAGGGAGAGAGAAAAAAAAAACTCCTTTGAAAAAGAAAAAAACGCAGGACTACTACAGCGACTGCTGGTGAGCAGGGTGGGCTTATGGAGGGTAATACCACTCCTGTTTTGCCGCTCGTGTCATGACTGATCCACTTATTGATTGCATCCTGCTTCCTCTTAACACTCCGACTTCAATACACTCGGTTGATAAACGCGTGGGGCCGACATTTCGAGTACGACAAAACTACAGCTCCTTTTTTCAGGCAGCGTATCCCTTTGCCCATTTATGAAATCCCTCCGTCACCCCTGAGCTCCCGAATAACTGTCTTGTGGTCCTCCTGTACGCCACTAGAATTGGAGGTGGAACCCAATAGGGCCAAATTGAAGACCTATACGGCGACTTGCCAGAGAGTCAGCTCTCTCCCTATCCTCCCTCCTCTCTCTCTCCTCTTTCTCCCTTCTCTCTTGGTCCTCCCTCCTCTCTCTCTCCTCTTTCTCCCTTCTCTCTTGGTCCTCCCTCCTCCTCTTATCCTCTCTCGCCTGGTCCTCCTGCCTCCTCCTCTCCTCTCTCTCCTGGTCATCATTCCTTCTCTTTTCTTCTCTCCTCTCTCTATCCCTCATCTCGGCTGCGTGCGACTCTGCCTGCAGTTTCTTTTCAGCCTCAGCCTTTTCGAGCTTGGCCTGGGCTTCCCTTTGCTCCTCCTTTCTCCTCTTCTCATCTCTCTGCCTTTCGGCGTCCCTCTTTCTCATCTCCTCTGTATGCATCTCTACCAAATGCTTCATCTCAGCTGTGGCCTTTTCAAGCCTCTCCCGAGTCTTCGCTAGCTCCTCCGCAATCAGCTCCTTCATTTCTGCATCCTTCTCCTTAATGGCCTCCTCGCGCTCACTCTCTAGACCTTTAATCTCCTCCTTATATTTCTCCTCTTGTGCAATCAATTCCTCATTAATGCATCGCCCTGCATCAGTGCCAACTAAGGTCCTCTTTTCTGTGACTAGCTGTTCCTGGATATCCAGTGCAGCTGGTTTGTTCGGCATCAGTTGGTCGATGAGACCCATCCCGGATTCTCCAGTGCCATGGAATCTCTGAAGAGTAGCGCCTCTTTCTATAAGGAGTCCCCAGAAATTGCGTTCTTCGCAGAGAGCCCTTTCCCGAACCTCCCCTTTCGCCTGATCGGTGACCCTGGACCATTGCGTAGTTGTGAGGAATACGTTCTTGAGAGCACCACGACCGCACAATTTCTGGAACATCATAAGGTTCTTCACGGCGGAACCGTCCATGCGGACGTTAGTGATGCTATGTAGGTAGATAATGCCGGAGAGAAGTCGGTTCTCCTTGAAGGTTTTTGAGGTCCAACCACTGATCTCGGTCAGAATGTCGGTATCGGTTCTTGTAGTATCATTGAAGCCGGGTGTGTCAACTAGAGTAATCGTCGCCCCTGCACGTTCAAAAGAGTAAGATTCGACCTTGCTAGTACCTTGCCGGTGTCAGTAGACTAGTTCAATTCCTAGGCCGGGCAATATCTTACAAGAGCGAAGCCCGTCGCTCACTTTGACCTCTGCGCAACCAGACACTTCCCTGATAAAGTAACTTTTACCGGCGCCTGCCACTTTCTTAGTAGATGCACGGTGAATTTTCAACAAGGTTTTGATCCTACCTGTAGCCCCCATGACGGCTATCAAAATTTCCTTACTCGGCGCAGCGTTTGTTTTCATTGTGGGGAGCTGTGGGACTATCCTTAGGGGGTGAGTTTCGGGCTTTGCTCGGGCAATAAATCGGACAGCAGTATGACACAGTAGCCGGTGGAGGATCGGCGAAGCTGGGGAACAATATTGCTAACCGGCTTTTTGGAAGACGGGCTAGATATTGGTATTAGCGTTCTCGTGAACAACGGAGGTCCCTGTGTGGTGTGATACCTTAACAGAAATAAGTCGCAAGCTTTATACTTTCAAGAGTGGCTGTGCCATTACCCGATGTGAAAGGGGGGAGCTCTCTAGTTAGTGTGAGGCGGAATTTCAGCTGCACCGCAGACAGGTTTCCCTAATCAGGGAAGCCTACACGAAGTCTTTCCCGCGGGCATGGTTCCAGAGATCATCATTAGCTCAAAAAAGGGGAAGGATCGACGGAAAATAAGGGAAATGCTGGCAACACTTGTAAAAGATAGGAGGAAACCGTTTGTGTGTATAATAGAACCGTCTCCCCAGAGAAATGCAACTAGATACCCTACGTGTAGGATTTCAAGCAAATATCCCGCTCCCCAGGGCTAATACTCCTCCCAAAGTTCCTACTCGTCTGCTTTTTTCCCGTCATCCCACAGCGGAGCGAGAGTTTCTCTCCCACAAATTGTCGATTTCGCCGAAAGAGCTCCCCTTCATCCATGCATCTTGTTTGTGCTTTTACAACACAACAAGCTGTGGCCTAATTTCCGTCGCTTTTTAGAAAGGCCGTAAACAGTGACACCTCAATGCCTGTATTCCTGTAGCTACATGCCCCATTGGACATGTCTATAGCCTGCTCCTGCACGTGAGGTTCTGGAGCGGCGTGCGTTGTCAAGGCTTCGCATCCTGATTGGTCGACATTCGGTTACGGCGCGTGGATCCTGTGCGGGAACAGTTTTGCACCGCTAATCCCGAGCGATCGTTTATTATACCATGAAAAACAGGGGTCTCTGTTTTAAATACCATGATATACCATGACAGGGGGGGTAAACTTGGACCACTCGTCTTAGTTAGCAAAGTGAGTGTACGAGTACCCTGATTACTAACTCCGTGAATATTTTTTTTTTCTTAGAGACTTTCCATGGACCAGGCACGCGGCATGATTATTTTGGTGTATGATGAATTTTTGCTCAACCGATAAGTCTTGTACGAGCTTGGCGACAAAAGAAATGAACACTCTACCTATTGCCAAGCCATCGACAAATTTTGCACCTCATACTCCAATGGCTACTCCAACTCCTCAAGATACATTAAATCCCCACTGGGATACACCTACATGTTCTCAGGCTCTTACTTTTTTAGATCTTGGTTTTTCACAAACTGAAACTGCAAGACAAACTGGTGTACCCCATGGGATGATCGCCCATTGGTCCTAAAATTCCTTGGAGCGGTGCAACAAAGTCCACTCTGGTTATCCACACTCTCTGAGCATACACAATATGAGGCTTCTAATTAGAATTCTTAGAAGTGGCTGGAAGGGTAGAATTCTTTCATGGGCCAAGGTGGGAAAAGGAAGCCAGTCTTAGTATATCGGGAAGAATAATTCAGTAGATGCTGGAAGCTGAAGGTTATATGCAGTGCAAAGGCCTGTAAGTAGCCATTCATCTCCCACAAATGTTAGCAGGATCACCTAGAGTATGCTACACTGCATATTCAGAAGCTCAAACAGTGGTGGCATAACCACATATACTCCAATAAGTGTACTTTTGACACCTCCAAATGCCGTTCTCAATGAGTTACTCATCTAACCAGGACTGGAGTCTGGTTCAGGAACTTATTTTATATTTCTTTTACTTGTAGTTTCAGGTATACTCAGTTCGTTTTACTTGTAGTTTTAAGTATCCCTTAATACTCAGGTTGTTTTACTTGTGGTTTTGAGTATCTCTTGATACTCAGTTTTTTTTACTCATAGTTTGAAGTATCTTTTGATACTCTAGTTGTTTGAAGTATTTCCTTGATTAAGGAACACTTGGGAAACTGGCCATGCAGGATATGGATGGAATTATGTATTTAAAGACTGCTGATTCCTTTGATGGAACAGTAGACTTCAACAGAGAGTATTTTAATATACTTGATTGAATGATTACCTCTTCAAGTCCTTATTCTATATCTTTCTCTTGGAGCCTCCCTTAGCACAGTGCACCTACAGGTCGTAGATCAACTTGTACACTATGCCTATTCTACTCGGATGTATGACTAGCACCCTAGTATGAATATGTTACAACTTGTCTACAAAGCGAGTACTACCACAATGACTGTATCCAATACACCTTCCATGGTGGTAGGACTTTAGTAAATGTGTGGGGTGCTATTGGTATTACACATAATAGCGAAATCGGTGCTAGTCACGCTTCCGGGTACAATAGGAGTAGCGTACAAGTTGATCTACAACCTATGGGCGTACTGCGCTAAGGGAGCCTCTGAGAGAAAGATATGTTCCATCCCACTGGTAAAGTGTTTTACTTCACCAAGAGGATATCCTCTTGGCCAAGTGGGTCACTTTCCTGGTAGGATATCCTACACACAAAGGAAATTTTACTTATCCCATTGACCAAGCTCTTTGGTAAAGTGACATAATAGTAAAAAAATCAAAATCTATAGGAATAATAGTACTACTATGTCTTATAAGCTATTCTCATTGCATTCCTATGAGCAGAAAGGTAATTCTAATATATTTTCAGACTTTTTATTGAATGTGAATAAACACTTTAGTTATTTGTTTATCAAATCAAATATTTTTTTAAGAATTAAATACAGAAAGAGAGAATTACCAAATAGAGAACTGAATAGAGGATAGGATAGAGCAAAGAATAATAGAATAGATAGAGAATAGGATGGAAGACCAGATAAAGGACAGGACAGAAAACTTTAAGCTCTTTTAATAAGCATGCTATAACTAGTTAATAGAGTAAAAAAACACCTTACTACCACCTCCTCCTGTATTCCAAACAAATGAAGAAAATCAAAAAGAAAGTTCTTAATAGGCTAAAAATCAAGAGGTATGATAGTATTCACATAAAATACCTTCTCGGAATAAGGTATAAATTGTTGAATTACAGTTGCACTGTTAGGCAGCAGCCAATTCTAAGTCGAACGAATTGTAACTGGGGCCAATAAGGTTTCTCGGAGAGTGGTCAAGAAAGCTTGTAACAAAAGTATGTATCAAAGTATAACGAATATATTGATAAGATCTCTTCTCCATTCGCTGATGATTCTGAAAGCTAAGGATTTTTTTTTGTTTAACTCATTGATTATTTGTTTAGGGTACAAAAAACATATGGAGCGCTAGCTATGACAACAAAAAACCCATATCCCTCCTCTCGCCACAGGAAAAAGCCAACCCCGCAAGCCCCTCTGGTATGGAGCCAACCGCACATCTCGCCTCAAAGAAAAGAAGCCCAAGCCCGGCTAGATGGACGAACAAGGAAATCCTAACTAAGAAGAAAGCAGGAAGGGCCAGGAAAACCCGCTGAGAAATCCCAAAAAGAACAAAAGAAAGGTTAGTAGCAAGCCACGTAGGCCCCGAAGGGCGAGTCCACTCATTCAAGCGGGAAGCGACGCACAAGCGCGCTAAGATAGGGGGCCCCCCCCAGACCCACTCCAAGGAGACAGTGCAATACCATGGAGGGAAGGAGGAGACCAGCCGGCCGTGGGCAATAACCGGGGGGAGGGGAAGGTGTAGCAGTAGGGTGCCAGCCGATCCGACCGTAGGGAGAAGAGAGCGGAGGGGTAGACCCAAAGACCTTTAACAACGTCTATTGGAAACGCGTTCGTGTCTGACTAGGCAGCCTCTTAGGGAAACAAGAGAACGGGGAGATCGACCGTAGCCTGTTGGCTGTTCTCCCCTACTGCGACTATAGTCCCGGCCGTCTGACGATGGTGGTTAAGGGGTTGCCGACCGTGAGAAGGCTAAGTGAGGCCAACTCAGGAGGAGGATAGGACTCCCCACCATGCGTGGGGGGAGGAGGAAGGGGGAGTAAGGAAGGTTATCAACGGCCGCTTAGGCCAGCATGGCAGGTGTTTTACCGCGTCTCTCATGTAGTCTCTTGTTCTGGGAGAGATAGCATCACTGTAGTGGATGGGATCCCACCACCCGCCAGTCAGCCAAGGAGGGCCTCCGACCGACCAACCCCCAGGGAGGGAGAGGACTCTAGGACAGTAGAGGGAAGTCAATACCTCTGGGTGGGAGAGGAGAGAGGAGCTAGACTCCCCTAGGCCGAGGCCAAAGGCAGGAGTGGGTGGGAGGGAGGAGAATGTTTCGCGATGAAACAAAAAACTCATGATAAAAACCGTGGTGTTGAGTTTTCAATCGCCGGAGGTGTAGCGGAGACAGAGGATGGACTTAAAGCTAGGGAGGTACCTTGATATTTATATTCCACGTCTGGGGGGTCGCGGCCTACATCCAATCCCTTACTGACTATGTACCTGCCCTACTAACGATTCCGAGTCGGTGTCTTCAGGGTGCGAACATCCTTTGACCCTAAAAACTAACTTCCCCGCTCTCTTCCTGAGTGGAGTGATCAGCTCCGTCAAAGGACTTATCAATGACTCTTCTATGTGCATAGCTTAGAGTGCATGACGAAAATAACAAACTCGACCAGTGAGTTGTTTAATAACCAATCGTCCACTAGTCTCCGGATGATCCTAGTTGACGCGAGCAGAGGATGGTGCGGCTACTTTTCGGAATAGCAGTACCAAGACTTCCAGAGGTCATAGCTCAACAACCAACCAACCAATCTGGTTCAACTAAGTCTTATCTTGTAGAGCGGAGCTCCTTCTATGTTATTCAGCGAAAACCCCTCGATCGCATGCCTCGTATCTCTGCAGATCGGGCTGCATAGTTGCCTTATCATTTCGTGCAATAATATGATATCGTCACGATAACTATGGCGGGGCCCCGAGTCGAACATGTGACCTTATGCATTTGGTCACGTGCTGCACCAATTACGCTTCTATGTGTAACATTAGCTCCCTCCTCGTCAAGACTCGTCCTCGAGTCTTTTCTATGTTCTAAAGTAATCTATATATGGTACATTTCTATAGTCATAAAGAAAATTCCGTCTAGGACTCTATCCAGGTAGGTTGAAAAACCTTTGCGCGTTTACTTGTCCACGCCTAGGAAAACCTTCCCTGATAATCCTACCTCAGCCATGGCATTTCCGGGTGATCCCTG